TTTAGTTATAGTGTTGAAGGAGAATATTAAAAGTACCAAGTACTATCAAAAGAGCAAATAAATCTGTGTTAGAAGAAGTACAGCCAGAATGATGTTTGGAAGCCAGGATGGCCAGACTTTATCTTTCCTATTTTGGATATATTGTCAACAGGGACCAGTCCTTGGAGAAGGATATCACATTTGGTAACGTGGACAGTCAGAGAAAATGAGGAAGACCACCAACAAGATAGATCAACACAGTTAATAACAATGACCTTTATGTAGGAATGATTGTGAGGTTGGCACAGGGCCGGGCAGTGTTGTGTTCTGTTGAGCATAGGGTCACTATAAGTTGATACCTAACAAGTGGGAACTGACTCAACGAACGGCACTTAGTAACAACCAAGAGTTAATAAGGGAACACTGTAAACAAGTTTATTCCAGTGTATTTGAAAACTTATACAATGTAGATAAATATCTTGAATAATGACTAATCAAACTGGCTCAAGAAGAGTATGAAAAGCTATATATTTGTGATGTCCCATATGACAGCCTTTTGGCACATGTGGCTACTGATCACTTGAAATGGACTAGTGCAACTAAGGGTCCGAATTTTTTATTTTATTTAAATTTTAAAATGGGAGCACTGTAAAGTGTTTGTACAATAAGCACAACTTGATTGCTTTTAACCATTGGTTATTTCACTTTAGCCATTGGTTATTGTGAATTTCAATAATCTTTTTTTTAAGTTTTTATTGTGAACTCAGTGATAGTTTACATGGGAGAACATTGGCTTTACACTATTGTTTCATTGCAATGATTACAGTCTCTGTGCATCTTCTTTCTATAGTATTTGCTTCCATTCTCTCTTTTTTTTGGGGGGGGAGGGGAAGGATGTACACAAAAACACTCAGGAATATATAATAATTTAAACAACTGAAGGGCACATTCTAGAAGCCTGCTTCCTGGCCGCTAGCACTTAGTCCCTCTCTTTCCATGAGTCTAGAGTCCTCAGCTGCTCCGTCTATCCATGGCTTCATCTCTGCTTCCGTCTCTGGTGTCGCTGCTTCTCTGGGTAGAGTCCTGTATTCCGCCTGTGCTCTTCTCCCATGATGGCCCTAGGATCCTCTGCTTTTGGACTGCGAAGTTCAATAATTTTTTTAGAGAGTAAAGGAGTCCTGAGGAGTACCTGATTGACACAAATAGTTAAGTGTCCAAGTACTAGGTGAAAAGTTGGTGGTTCTACTCAAAAGTGCCTCAGAAGGCAGGCCTGGGTATCTACCTCTGAAAGGGCACAGTCTTGAAAACCCTATGGTGCAGTTGGACTCAGCACATGTGTTTCACTATGAGTTGGAATTGATTTGATAGCAACTAACAAGAACAACAATAAAGGAGTCTTGAGACCAAAATGTTTGAGAACTGCTCATCTAGGGCATACAATGGCAAAATTCAGATGAAATGTTATTGTGGTAATGGGGATCCACAGGATTCAATATAACATTTTGAAGGAGCAACCTTAAACTGGCCTTGTTTTTAAGGAAATGTCATCATCCCCCCCTCCCACTTGCCCCCTAATACTTCTTTCTTCTTCCTCAACGGTTCTATTGCAGTGCTCCACTTGGTCTATTTTGCTTGAGTTTGGCATTAGAGAATTCTAATATTTGGTTTTTCTTCCTTTGCCCACATCCAGATTGACTTGTCCTGTGCCCAAATTTTTGGAAGTTGAATATGTGCTAACTTTCCCAGGTGATCATTTCTACTTTTAATAGATAATTTTCCAATATAATAACTTAATTCAGTAGCTATTATTTTAGTCAGAGGAACGAGGAAGGTGCGGCCAGTAGTAATCTTCTTTGAATAGTCTTGAGAATCCTACAGACTTTGCCATAGAAATCAGAGGATGAATAAGACTCTTTGGGATGACAGCAACAAAAGTCAATTTCCACTGCAGTCATAGCACTCTGGGGACTGCCTGGCTGGGTGCTTCTCAGCATCCTCCTTTGCTATGGATGAGCTCAACAAGCTTCTAGGGGACAGTGGTGGGGTTGGTGACTGACTGGGGCTATAATTCTAGAGAAAGTGCTAGTGCTATGTGCCGTGGAGTTGGTTCCGACCCACAGCGACCCTGTACAGGGTTTCCGAGGTTGTAAATCTTTACGGGTGCAGAAAACCTCATCTTTCCCCCGCAGAACAGCTGGTAGTTTCAAACTGCTGACCTTGTGGCTCACAGCCCGATTCGTAACTACTATGCTGCAGGAGCTCCTTATAGTTCTAGAGGAAAGAGGTAGTTTTATAAACAGCCTGAGGCTCTTAGATACAGGTTTTATTACTTAGATATTACTGTGGAAAAGAGGGCCTGATTTCCTTGATGGGATCCTGGTGTGGTGCTGTCAGAGATGCACTGGATTTCAAACCACCAAGTCAGTTGTTCAAAGCCACCAGCTGCTCCTTGGAAATCCTGTACAGGGTCGCTATGAGTCCAAACCGACTGGATGGCATATAATAACATTTCCTTTCTTGTTTTGAAATGTAAATGGCATGGCAATGCAGGATAATGCTCTAGACTGCAAGTCAGTTTGAACCTCAAGGTTGGTGGTTAAAACTTACCAGCGATTCCTAGGAAACCCTACACAGAGACACAGGGTTGCTATGAGTCGGAATCGACTCGACGGCACTTAACAACAACAACAATGCTCTTTCATGATTTCTGCCTCTTAGACTGTTAATTAGCCTCATTTTATTTGTGTAGAATCAGATGGTGGTTACTACATAAAATTTAAAAAGCAAGCTACAAAGTGTGGTTTGAGGAACTCTCATATCAGCATTGTTGTTGTCGTTGTTAAGTGCCGTCGAGTCGGTTCGGACCCATAGCGACCCTGTACAGGGTTTCCGAGGGTGTAAATCCTTACGGGAGTAGAAAGCCTCATCTTTCTCCCGCGGAGCAGCTGGTAGTTTCGACCCGCTGACCTTAAGGTTCGCAGCCCGATTCATAACCACTACGCTACCAGAGCTAAAACCCCTGAGGTAGGGAAGAGGACCACTGTGCTTAGACACTGTGCTTAGATGGATTAGGTGTCAGGAGAGCCTTTGGAGAGAAAAGCAGGGTCCTGGTGAGGTGCTGTAGGATCAGCACTGAACTGCTAACTTCGAGGTCAGCAGTTCAAATCTACCAGCTGCTCCTTGGAAACCCTATGGTTGTGGTTGTGGTATGTCGAGGAGTTGGTTCCAACTCATAGTGGCCCCTGTATAGGATTTTTTAGGCTGTAAATATTTACAGGAGCAGAAAGCCTCATCTTTCTGCCATGGGGCGTGCTCGGTCGTTTTGAATTGCTACAATACCAGAGCTTCTTTGGAAACCCTATATAAGGATGCTAAAAGTCAGAATTGACTCCAAGGCACTTAACAACAACCACGTGGGACTTTAGAGGACAGGGCAAGGCATTTCAAAGAGCAACAGGAACCAGAGGGTTTTGATCAGAGTAATCAGATCTCATTTACATTTTAAATTAACACTCTTGACAGATGACTGGAGAAGGCACTGTAGGTTCACACAAGGAGCTGTCAAATCGGTTCCAACTCATAGTGACCCTGTACAGGGTTTCCGAGGCTGTACATCTTTAGGGGAGCAGAAAACCTCATCTTTATCCCGCGGAACAGCTTATTTTGAAGCTAGAAAAGCTCTCAGATTTTAATGAATTGAATGGAGTAAAAGAGTAGTGAAAGAGAGGGAGAGAGAGATATGATACCTAATATAGTGGTATCAGGAACTGACAGATTTAGGGAAATAGTAAATATTGAGATGCGGAAGGAATGTGTGCAAGGTCAGTTTGAACTGTTGTGTTGGTGGTTCAAATTCACCAGCCGCTCCTCGGAAACCCTATACGGGGTCGCTATGCGTCGGAACTGACTTGACGGCACTTAACAACAACAACCTCCTATACTGTGAACCACGAAGTCAACAGATGAAACTACTACACCAGCTGCTTCTTGGAAACCCTATATAAGGTCTTTCTGAGGCGGACCCGACTTACCGCACTTAACAACCACCACCACCTATTTGGAGTCCCGACCTGGAGCTGTCAGATAAGCACTAGATCACAAAGTTGGTTTGAACCGCAAGATGGCAGCTCAAACCCACCAGCGTCTCCTCAGAAGCCGTATATGTTAGGAGTCGGAACCAACTCGACGGCACTTAAAAACAACAATCTACTATGTGGAGTTCTGGTGTGGCACTATAGTTTGAGCACTGAACTTCTAACCACGGGTCAGCGGTTCAAATCCATGAGCTGCTCCTATGAGTCAGAGCCAATTTAATACCACTTAGTGGCGCTGTGGGTTAATGCGCCAGACTGCAAAGCCGTTTGAACTGCTAGGTCGTCGCTCCTCCGAAACCCTATATAGGGTCGCTACGGTTCGGAACCGACTCGACAGTACTTCACAACAACAAGGGGACATAATCAAACAGGCTGCTGGATGTAGAACCGGAGCTCAGAGGGAAGTAAATTTGGGACTCAACACAACACAGTTGTACTGACGCTATGGAACTGGATAAAGTCAACCAGGAGGTATAGAGCGAAGAGAAAAGGTTGTCGCTCAGTGCCCAGCGTTTATAGAGGTCGGCAGGGTGGCAGAGCCGGACCTGGAAGGTCATGGATTGGACGCAGGCCGGGGTCCTTGTGGGCGGCCCTGCCCGACGCCCCAGGAGGTTCTTGGTGACAAAGCGAGGTAACCTGAGGTAGCACTAAGTGGTAGGCATGACTGGGAGGGAGGCGGGGACTCCCAGCTCATGGCGGGAAAGTCAGGCGTTGGAGGCAGAGGAGGTAAAAAGGGGAAAAAGAGAAGCAGGGGTACTAGGAGTGAAGTGGGCAGGGGCGTGGGAGGAGCGGCAAGCTGGGGAAAAGGAGCCTGAGGGGAGGGGGCGGGGCCGGGGTGGCAGGAGGGGCGGAGCCGCTGCAGCGGCCGGCCGGCCGGGGCGGGTAGAGGGAGTGGGGGTGTGTGTGTGCGCAGGTCACATGGTCGCTGCTGCCCTCCCCGTCAGCCGCCTTCGCCGCCGCGGTACGCTGGCTGCAGGAAGCCGCTGCGCCGCCGCTTTGTTGTCAGGGACCCTGGGAGGAGTGCCGCTCGCTGGCCGTCGCTCTCTTTACTGTAGCCCACTCTGTGGTCGCGGGGTCCGGGCGCCCTGCCCATGAGGGGGCCCCGCGACCACCGCTGCTCCCAAACCGGGGCGGTGCAACGCTGAAGCGGCGGCGGCGGCGCTGCCCCTTTGCTGGAAGCGGGAGGACTCAGCTCCCATTCTCGGGGCAACATGGAGGTGAATGCGGGTAAGAGCCTGACTGCGGCGGGTGGGAGCGGCGGAGGGGGTGAGTGGAGTCCGTTGGGCATTACGCGGGGCGGCGGCGGGGGTGGCTCGGGGCAGACGGAGTGGGACGCTAAGCGCCGGCAGTCCGCCTCAGGCTCCGCTTCGGTCGACCACCGAACCCGCCCTCTCGACTTCCTGAACGCCGCAGCGCTGCCCAGAGGCGCCCGGCACCCCCCTCACATGGCCTGGCCGCGCGAGCCACGTGCGTGCTGTGTTTACGTTCGGCGGCGCGCGGGCACCGGTTGGCTGGGCGGGCCAGTGACGCTGCATTACATAATGGGTGCTGAGGCGGTGGCGGCGGGCGGGGACACGTGAGGCCGCTTGGCTCCGTGACCCACATTCCCCGGGGCCACAAGGACACGTGGGAGGTGAGTGCGCGCGCTTGTGTGCGCGCACGCGCGCCTGCTGGGAACGCCGCAACCTCTTGGGAGGCCCCTCCCCTTTGGAACCCTCCAGGCTGTGACGTGACTGCAATCCCTCCGCCTCCCCCAGGGTGCTCACTGCGGAGGAGGACGCTTGTGCGTGCCCGTTTAGCCCTGCGGTGAGTGTCTGGCGCCGCAGTGCAGGGGCTCCTTCCTACCCGCACTCGGAGATGACCCTGAAGTGTGGAGATCGAGTAGGCAGGCAGGCTGGCCGACGACGTCCTGGGGAAGGCTTATCTTGCGAGGAAGTGTAGGGCAAGACACTGGCCAAGGGAGGTGCCTCCTGGAAGGCGCGGGGCTTCCCTACAACAAGGTGCCTAGATCCCGGGGCTACGTGCCGAAGGGATCGTACTTAACCGTTGTTCTGTGGCTGCTTTACTCTTTATACAAGCACACACAGTTTCTTCGGGGCCACAACCTGTGTCATATACTCTCAGTTATAAAAAACGGAAAATTCTCTCTGATCGAGAGCCTTATTATAAAATGGTCAGACCCGCTGTCATTCAGCTCACGATCAGGATGACTCACATGATTGTAGGTCACTTGGAGACGTTATATAAGACAGGTCGTTGCTCATTTAAACGATTTTTTTAAAGCCTGTTGGTCAGTGACTTTCTGAAGCTGATGAAGACAATTTTGCATTTACAAATTTGTATGTTATATTTCAGAAGAGCATTGCTACAGAACAGTTGTGTTCCCGCCAATCTTTTTTCTGTCCCCAAACAAGTAATGTCCCTTAGATCTGTTTTGCGGCGCTGTAGGATAAACACTGGACTGTTGACTGCAAGGTTAGCGGTTCAAACACACTAGCCGTCCCTTGGGAACCCTACTCAGGGTCGCTATGAATCAACTTGATGGCGCTTAACAATAATTTAACCTGTCTACTCTGTAACATGAACCGACTCGATGGCACTTAACAACAACAACAACTCTAATATAAGGAGCTCTGGTAGCGTAGTGGATATGAATCGGGCTGTGAACCTCAATGTCAGCAGTTCGAAACTACCAGCTGCTCCAAGGGAGAAAGCTGAGGCTTTCTGCTCCTGTAAAGATTAACAGCCTCGGAAACCCTGTTCAGGGTCGCTTTGGGTCGGAACCGACTCTATGGCACTTAACAACACTGTCACATGGGTTGCTATGAGTTGAAAATAGGTTCTGTGGCTCTCAACAACGGACCCAAACAAAGCGAGTTTTACAGAAGAAGCCACATATTAATTTTTTTTGAAGTTTATTTGGTCCTCCAAAAACTGCATCTTGATAACAAATGTATGAATTTTAAGTTAGTAGCAAAAAGAGTCAATTTCCAAAAATGTTTTAATTATCTAGGGACCTAGATAACCTGTGAGGGTATATATATATATTTTTTAAACCCAAAAGATAAATGATAGGTACTTCAGGTGAGTTCAGCCTCTTCTCACTTAGTCTTCATCAGTTACGGCCTTATGAGGTGGTCTGGTTCATGATTAGAAACATTCTTTTTAGGGTATGAAATCACAGATCTTAATCTTGTCTTTTGGACCCACAAATTATAAAACTTCCTCTGGATGACTATTGATCTCTATCCTGCAGTTCTTCCGTTTCCAGTTCTCATTCCCTAGTCGTCACTCAGCTTTGTTTCTCCTGATCACACCTAATTGTTGTTGTTAAGTGCTGTCCAGTCATAGTGACCCAGTGTAGGGTTTCCGAGGAGGAGCAAGCAGCTGGTGAGCTTGAGCTGCCTACTTTGCAGTTCAAACGGCTTTGCAGTCTGGCGCATTAACCCACAGCGACACCCTGAGACTCGGATCAGACCTCCTACTGGTTATTTTTTGGGGGTTCGTACTCGGAAGTGAACAGGTTCCTGTGGAAGTAGTTTCAACATTACCAGGTTCCTAGTTGCCGCTTTCTTTTGGATCCTGTTGTAATAAACAACTCTTGTTAGATTTAGCAGATATAGTTTATTTTTAAAATAAAGTAGGACCCCAGGATACTAAGGAGATTCCCAATGTGACTAATTCATATTTGTAGGTAAATTGAAACAGGAGCATAGAGTTCTTCCTTAGGCTTGCTGTAGTGCAAGAAAAGGCTGGGAGCCTTTTCAGTGATTTAAAAGCTGCACTTCACCAAGTGAAAGTGATTGTAATGAATTTGTTGTTAGGGGAGTTGGGGGTTGGTCCAATCATGTGGAAGTTAGGACACATTTACATATCATTAAAGGGCTAGTACAGGTTGTCTAAATCAGACTATCAGATGATGGTGATTGGAAACTACTTGTACCGGATCATTGTCCTTGGAAAAAAACGGGATTAGGCTCTTCCCAAATCTCTGGTCACAACATTTTAACCAGTGGATTAAGGTACAGCCTTGTTAAATGCCCCCAACTAAAGCAGTGGGGAATTCAGACATGGTGCTGTAGGATAGCACTGGACTGCAAGGTCGGTTTGAACCACAAGGTCGGCTGTTCAAACTCACCACTCATTGAAAATCCTTTACAAGGGTTGCTGTGAGTCAGAACAAATATGAGTATATTTGTTTAAAGACACCTTATTTAATAAGTTAATCCATTAATAATGAGTTCATGGTGAACAACACTATTCTTATGACTGAACAAAGCATATCATGTATTTTCTCTGTAAGGCACGTCACAGCCTACTTGCATTTCGCAACACTAGTCAGCACTTACTGTTGTTGCTGTTGTTAGTGCCATTGAGTCCGTTCTGACTCTCAGCGGCACTTAACAACGACAAGGGTAAATAAATCTTCGCTTGTGAGAGAAACAGCAAGATAATGGGAAGAAGAATCAGAAGTGTAATAGGAAGTTGCTTGAGGAGTCGCTGGGGTTGAGGACTTTGGATGCAGTCTTGGTGTGGGGCTGAAGGACAATGCGGTGAATGACAAAGTTCGTTTAAACTGCAAGGTCAGAAGTTCAAACCCACCTGCTGCTCCTCAGAAATCTTATACAAGGTTACTATGGGTTAGAACGGACTTGATGGCACTTAACAAGAACAATAACAGTATAGAATTAGAAGCCCTGGTGTGGTGCTGCAAGATATACACTGGACTGAAAGGTCAGTTTGAACCGCAAGGCTAGTGGTTCAAACTCACCAACCACTCCTAGGAAACCCTATACAATGTCACTGTGAGAGGATCTGACTCAACAGCACTTAACAACTACGACAACAATGTAGAATTAAGAACTTTCAGCTCAACCATTGGGTTCATATGATATATTCAAAAATGAAGAAATAAAGGGATCGGAAGAGTTAGTTTTGTATATTCTGATTGCACTCTTTGAGTATAATTATTGGTAAAGTAGTGGTAAACTACTCGTGTATGCCAGGCCCTTTATATGTACTACTGCCTTGATTCCTTATTACCTCTATGAAGAAAGGTACTGTTACCATTATCTTAAAGGTGAGGGGTTTAGTAAATTGAAGTTAACTTGCCCAAGGGGGAGGGGCAGTCAGAATTTGAAACCACAGAGTCCTCTCCTATAGCACAAACTGTTAATTGTGCTGTAATAAGCCTGTATGGAGCCCTGGTGTGCAGCTGTGGGTTAATGCTCTGGACTGCAAAATTGGTTTGATCCACAGGTTGATGGTTCAAGCTTACCGGCTGCTCTTTGGAAACCCTATACAGGGTCGCTATGGGTTGGAACTGACTTGATGGTGCTTAATAACAACACATATGCTTATATAGCATTTAAAAGGTTATATGAGACTTGGTGGCTGGCTCTGTTCGGGTGAAGGAGCTTCTGTATGGGTCTATTTGGTTTGAAGTGGTGTAGAGTCATAGTTGGTGGAAAGGACATGTGTTGGCAGAGCCTCCCAATTTAATCATGCATTGCTAGTCAAGTCTAGTTTTTTTTTCAGATACCAGATTATACTTGATAATCTCTTTCCAGAAATTTACATGGAAATATTATTTTATGTTTTCATTCCATTTTTCTCATATATAACCTTTTACATGGAGTTCTTACGTGGCGCTGTAGGATAAGCACTTGACCGCAAAGGTGATTTGAACTGCAAGGTCGGTGGTTCAGACTGACCAGATGCTATTTGGAAGCCCCCTACTGGGTTGCTATGAGTCGGAACAGACTTGACAGTACTTAGTAACAATAAAGCTCTTACATGGAGTCTTGGTGTTGCACTGTAGTAAAGCATCAGAAAGCTTTATCTTTCTGTAGCATTCATTAATACTCAATTTTAAAACAAGAAAATGGAAGCTCTTTTGTAAAAATGTTTTGTTCTAAGTCACAAGACAAAAACATACAGTCATGAGTTGAAGTCTGATCAGGATGGTAGACACAGTGGGAGGGGTTGTTGATGGGTAAGCCTGGAATTGGGGTAAGAAAGCCATAGTATTATGCAGGGATAGTAAGTGCTTCCTTTGTTGTTGTTACGTACCATCGAGTTGGTTCCAACTCATAGTGACTCTATATAGGATTTCTGAGGAGTGACTGCTGAGGTTGAACCGCTGACCTTGCAGTTCAAACCGACGTTGCAGTCCAGTGCATTAACCCCACAACGCCATACCAGGGCTCCTGCTGCTGCTGTTGAAT